TATATATATATATATATATATATATATATATATTAGGGGTGGAACGGTTCACAAAATTCACGGTTCGGTTCACGGTTTCGAGGTCACGGTTTTCGGTTCGGTAAATTTTTTTTTAAATGAAAAAAAACAAAAAAATTTATGAATTGTAATTATTTTTAATGATTCGCGGAAACCATGGATCATTTCCGCATGTTTTGCTGCTTTTAATTTAATCATCTCGCGCATGCCCTCTACGATCTCCAAGGAACTCAGAGCGTAGCGGACGGGAGCCACAGCGGAGGCTGTAGGCTTTGCTTTGTGCAGGCGGTCTGGCAACAACCCAGTAGCAGCACACCTTTCCATGTACCCAGAACAGCTATCATTACAGGAGGTACTGAGATTAGATCCTCAGACCTCTTGTGAGACCACATGCTGGTGTGGTTGACCCTGGGTTCCTCCTAATGCAGGACAATGCTAGACTTCATGTGGCTGGAGTGTGTCAGCAGTTCATGCAAGATGAAGGCATTAAAGCTATGGACTTATCTGCCCGTTCCCATGACCTCCGTCTGATTAAGCACATCTGGAACATCCTGTGTTGATCCATCCACCAATGTCACAATGTACTAAACGACTGTCCAGGAGTATGGGATGCTTTAGTCCAGGGCTAGGAGGAGATCCATCAGGAGACCATCCTCCACTTTATCAGGAGCATGCCTAGGCAAATTTGTATGTGTGACACTAAATGCAGGCCTCCATTGGTTAATAAATTTGAATTCAAAGCGAATGTATTCAGATGTGGGATGTTATCAAATCCTTTTTTTAGCAGTTACTATATATATATATATATATTTATATATATATATATATATATATATATATATATATATATATATTTGGTGGCCTTGTGTACACTGTAGCCTCTTTCCTTGTTTGCCAGGTGTTTAGCCCAGCCATGAGAAGAAACGAGAGCTTAACTGCACACAAATCACAGGACTAATAAAAACTGAATGCTGAAGCTCTTTTAATGCTAATGCACTCCCCATTAGTTCTGCTGTGATTACAACACATCTCATTCTTTTTGCTGGGCAATCAGCCATGGCATGCCCCCAGCACACATCCACACATTATTATTTGTATTGTAAAGGAGCATTTAGGGCTTCGAGGGGTTATAGGATACATTTCATGACTGCTCTTCTCTACTCTCTTCCCCATTTTGAAGACCCCTAATGTTAGGCAGCTGCCCTTTTTAAATAGTTTAACATTTTAAGGCTGTTCTCTGTAAACCTTGGAACAACATTGTAAGTGAAAAGCCAAGTAGATCTATAGTTTTTAACATACTCTCACCAGACCATGTCGCCCAACAACTATGCTTCATTTACTGTAAGTCTTTTTAATCACCTTCTTTTTTCACCTTTTTGGCTTTTAGCTAAAAAAAGTTGTCTTTAAAACATAGATGCCTAAATGATTGGAGTTGCATCCATGTAACTGACCGATTCCCCCATTTTTATTAGAACAGTGTTAACAGGTTTTACTGGCAAACAGGTATTCCTCTTTTTCCCGCAAACTTTCTTTCATTATTTCATTTTTGTTAAATACATTGCCACATGATGTTTTGATTGTGTGTGATTTGGCATACCGTACTTAAGGTTAGTTTTAAATCTTACCAAACCAATCAATATGGTCACACAGTTTATGCATAAAAACCTAGATTTAAGAATGAACTTTTCTTTTTTTATATAATGGTTAGACCCCAAAACCAGCAGTTTTGGAGTCTGTAACCGAAATCTAAGATTGTTTTGTTATTTCCTTTGAATGAAAGAAGCATATTTCAGAGGATAATCTATCAATATTTATTCCAGAGGCATAAATGGTCCATAGTAAAATAAAAGAAATCGACAAAGGGAAACACATACAAACATAACCAGGATTGATTTAATCTTAAATTCACCACTCCGCAGAACTTCCAGCCTCTTTTACTGATGTCAGTACTGACATTTTATTTTCTAGAAAGATTCCCAAGTTTGTTCAGAAACAAAATAAAGAACATTTTCTGTACAACTTTCTTATAGATTCTTTATTATTTCACTAGAACGATGTAATTTACAATGCATAAAGCTCAATAACATAATCATATATTTATGATATAAAAATAGGAGGGATTTTTCAAAAGAATAAAACAATCTAAAAAAAAAAGTAGATGTTTTTTATTTATATTTACCTTTAAAAGAGCATGTTCAATAATTTTCACCCATTTTAAAAATAAAAGTGAGGAGCATTGAGTTCAGAATGTACAGCAGTCAATTTATACAAAAATGCTTTCCCATAATAAAGTACTGGTTCTATACAACTAAAGATCATATCATCCAAGAAACACTAGCATTTCCAAAATCTGGACTCTTCATGAAAAGAAAATACAAATAAATGAAACATTACTCTATTTATCTAAAGATTCATATTAAATAATTTCAAGGTAGATCATTTGATTAAAATCATTACAAGAAAACAACAGTGAATAGAAAAATGGGCATAAATGAGCAACACTGTGTAGACTGTGGCTGATTATGGGATTTTGGTGCATAAGGAGGTTTTGTCTCATGGAAAGTGTTAATATGAGACAATTGTAAGAATGACTACAGTTATACGTATATTCTGAAATAAACTGAATGAGTTTTTACAGTTAACTCGATACATTCTCTTTATTTTTATACATCTGGAGAATTAAAGAGTTTCTCTATTTATTTTGCCTGTTGAATTTTTCCTTGGTAGATATCCCTAGCAAACATCTCTGTTTTTTGTTTTATTCTTGTATTCATGTTAATTGTATTTAATTTAGAAAAGTCTCATGCAAATGTTTAGAAAAATCTTAACCACCCCACTGAGGAGAGGTTGGAGTTTGGATCTAGGATCTGATCTCATATCTTCCTCTCACTCAACATGTCATGGATTGATGAATGGATTTCTACTCGCTAAACATGTCTTCCACATGTCAGGAAGTGACGAGAGGATCTCTGACCTCGGGGCTTAAGGGGAGATGGTGGGTTGGTGAAGTGGGTGAGGGGAAACAAGCAAAAGCTGGCAGCAGCCCGTCAGCAGTCAGTTTAGAAGCAGAGCATGATGTGCAGAGGGCAGCAGGATGCTTTGCAACTTAAACGAACCACCAAAACTGTTAGAGTATGCTTTGCATATTCTGCAGAATGTGTGGAGGATTACATATGAGCGGTCAGCACAGCTCAAGTTGACCACCAGAGCTACCCCTTAAGTATTGCCAGCATAGATGAACAGAATATCCCCATCATTATTGTAAAGCCTCTAAAGGTTTGAAATGTCACAATTACAATTAACTGTTTTGTTTCTTTTAATTGGCTTAATTACCTAGAATAGGCCATATAAAAAAGTATCAGAGAAGCACTTGGTTTATTGGTGAGAATGCATGTTAATCTTTGTGTTCTGAATATGCACGTTCTTGCACTTTGCAGGTTCTTTTCTTTTTCTCTCATATAATTTGTATGTTAGCTTAAATGGCAACACTTCATTGACTTATGACAGATTGAGAAATTGGTTCTAGATTCAGTTTTTTTTTTATTTAGCCTTTCTTTGCCAGCAATTTCACATTTCATTCATGTATTTATCTTTACTTGGCCTAATTATGTTAATTTTTCTTTGCTTCACTTTGATCAATGTTGCTCTGATTTTATATTCTGTCTTCACTTTCTGTCGCTCCTTTGTTCAACTTTTTCAACATTGTCTTTAAAAACTTTTTAGTCCTGTATTTTGTGTGCTTTTTTGCTTGTCCTAATATTAAATTGTCCTGTATCCCACTGATGTCCTGAGCTATTACAAGTATACAAGTTGATCTGCTAACAAGGTGTATGTTGGGTTTACTTCTGTAACAGCTCATGTCTTTAAAATATAAATTTTTTGCCCATATCCAATTTTATGGATATCACATGGGGCTGATTATCTGTTTATTTCTATTTTGTTTTATTTTTCCCTATAGCAATAATGTTTATTATTTATTTATTAACAATATTTAGCAATTAAGAACTCTTGCATTTCTAACAGCTGGTTCTTACTAGCTGTAAATATGCTGCATGTTCTTAACAATATCAACAGCCCCCTCACTCTCTGCATAAAGCATTTTTTTAAAGAACAAAATAGTTCAATGAAAATAAACCTATTTCCTGGATGGCATTAATAATATAAGCTGTGCATTGATCAGATTGTGCACATCTTGCCCGTCAGAATCACACATGTTTCTTTGTCACTTCACTTCTGTGGCTTTCAAACATTTTTTGTAGCTGCAAATACCTATTTTCTCTTTTATCCATGGATGCTGTTGTTACCCATAACATAACTTTGATCAGTTGACTTATTTCAACAACCGTTTAAACTTCTAATTTTTTGACCATTTAAGTTAAATATGGAGGTAGAGGGGAGAACATGAGTGGGGCTCTTTAATTCAAAGGTGTAATCTATAGAGGGAAATTTTGTGCTGTATAATATGCTCATAAAAAATATACATACAGTACATTTGTTTAGTATACGCCATTTTTGGATTTGGAGTAAATATACTTTTAGTATGGATCCTACGCAATGTTTTAAAAAATGAGAATCCAGGCCTGTAAGTTTTTGTTTAGAAATTAAAATAATCTAGCTTCCCAAACCAGTTTTCTGAAAATTGCATCAAGAGTGTTGAAATGTTTTAATTTCTCTTTAGATCATCATAAAAATCGTTATATACATTTGTGCATGTTTTATTATTGTTATTTTTTTTGAATAACAGTTTGCAACCAAATGGAATAAACTGAAAAAAAAATGAAGGAAATAGTTTATTACCATTTCTTATTCTGTGATTTTAAAGCTTTGTCCTTGGATTGGATGTATTTCTTTCTTTGTTTAAAAATCTTAAACCTTTCAGTCAACACTGACACTGCAATATTTCTATCCCTACAGATTTAAGAAGAATGACGGCTGGCTTTGTGGGCATGGCTGTGTCCATCATTCTTTTTGGCTGGGTCATTGGAGTGCTGGGCTGCTGCCAGCAGCATGACCTCATGCAATATGTAGCTGGCCTACTCTTTCTCATGGGAGGTAATGTGGAAGCACGTATACACACATCAACACACTTGCATGCAGACAGAATCTGATTTCATCCAATTACTGTGTTTATTTGGTGATGGCTGAGAGTGCAGTTGGGTTAACATGAGATGCAGATCAATGCCTTGCAGAAACAGCATCCTGCACAGAGATATGCAGTGCATGTAGGAATTTAGGCATCAATCAGGACCCTTTGGAATCACTTTTGGTTTTTTCTTCTCTCACAGGAACGTGTTGCATCATTTCCTTGTGTACATGTGTGGCAGGAATTAACTTTGAGTTGTCCCGCTACCCACGCTACATGTACGGCCTCCCTGAAGACATTAGCCATGGCTACGGTTGGTCCATGTTTTGTGCTTGGGGGGGCCTCGGCCTCACATTGCTGGCTGGCTTCCTCTGCACCCTGGCCCCCTCCCTTAGCACGCCGGCTCGCACAACAACCCACAAACCAAGGCAGGAGAACGGAACCGTGTGACAGGAGGCGTTATAAACAGACTGATCCACCTAACGCACAAAGCACACCTTTCCATGTTTAACTCTGAAACAGTATTAGTGTAATCACCATATCACGACTCCCCTCAACGTGGCCATATCCTTTCAGTGTACAGTGTGCCTAATCTGTGGTGAAAAGCAGCAAAATAGAGACAAATTTTCACGCATCAAATCTCTTAATGGACCTTCAGGAACATGAAGAATAATGTGTACAGTAGCTCATAAGTAGGAAATGGCTTCAAAGGCCTTTTTATGTTGTTGTTGTCTGTTTTGATTTCTGTGATACTGATTTTCTGACGCTTTAAAGGGAACATATATCTCTGGATAGAATACTTCTTAAAATGGTGCTCTGAAATAAAAAAAGCCACTCCTACAGAGGGAACACATAAGCAAACACATATCATCTCAGTTCCTCAGAGATCTTAGGAGAAATCTTTACACAAGATAAAAAAAAAAAACCTTAGTTCAGAATATCCTGCAGGAAGTATGATCTGTGACATTGTTCGTAATTAAAAAGAAAGAATCAAAAAGCGCTGAATATGGCATTTCTTTCTCATAAAAAAAACACAAATAGATATGAAAAACTTGGGTGTATAGGGTTAAAGGTTGTAAAAAATATTGCATTATGATCAGTATAATAAAACACTATGTTCCTTGAAGACATCATAGAAAAATAAACTTCCATATAGAGCCAGATGTTTGTGTAAAATAGATATTTCTTGTTTTAAAGTCGTAGGGAAGCAGCTGTTCCAACGGTTGCAGTCCTGAATTCTCCCGAGTGGTGCACGACTTTACACGAAAGAATAAAGTGAATTTAATCGGTGGATTATCAAGGCGGCGGGATTGTTGTGGAGGAAGGTTCGCAAACAAATTTGGTTGTGGCTGGTGTCTCGGAAGCATCTTGCTAACCAGTTAGCAACTTAGTGCTACTAGGTTCCCCATGGGAAATTACATTGGGACCAAGTAGCACTTAGCAACAACACTGTCAAGGAACGCTATGCACAGCGGAAACATGCAAGAGGAGGAGAGCTTTGTGTCAGAGGTTGTGGATGAGTCGCCTTCGTCATACATTTTTTATTTAGAGAAGGAAAGCGAGACGAAGTTGTTGTGGAAGAGGACGCCAAGGCATCAGAAGCTTGCTTTGGTGTAGAAAGCTTACAGCCGTACATGTTTGAGCCCTTGCCTCACAACGCTGCCAGTTCTGTTAGCTCTACGCCTGCCGAAGACACAGTGGTCCAACCCCAACAACACTGTGACGGAACTTAATGATAAAGTAAATGATTCTACTGTCTTGCGTATATTAGCTGCTGCCTATGAATCAAGATGCCATGACCGAAAAACATTGATTGACAGTTGATATATGATTGGCCGAATTTAGGTGTACAGGCTAACGTAGAACTAACTGGCCTGCATAAGATAACGAAAAAAAACAAAACACGGATTCTGAGACAGGATTTTTTTTAAATAGTAATTTTCTAACTTTTGGAACAATATGGTGTGATAAAGAGAACATTTATATACATGTTTAAGCCAGGATGATTTGAAATTTAAATTTGACTTCCCTATGACTTTAAATTCCACTTTTCTGTTCTAAAGGTAAATAAGGCTGAGGATTTACAGAAACTTTGTAAAACCTAGAAACCGAAAAGATGTAATAAGAATGTTATTTTTAAAATTTTAAATTAAGTGTAAAAAAAAAAAAAAACCCACCAAAACAAAACCGTTGCTGTGCTCTGACTGTTCATGTTACTCTTTATGTTCAGGCGGTTGCTAAGTGATAGCTTAAAGAACATGCGAAACCAAACTAACAGATTAAACTAAATTTCGAAAAATGTTTTTTTTTTTTTTTTGAAAACACCTATCCTAATTATACTCATACTGTTACTTCAAACAACGTTGAAAGACCAAATATCTTCATTTCATTTTCAACACATAAAACAACAAGAAATGGGCAGTGTTTCTTAACGTATGTACAGCAACCTTTGCAATTATTGACCCTCCTTGGAAAGATTTGCAAAAAGTATTAAAATGAGTCTTTTGTAGCAGCACCATGCCTAATTTTAGAAAAACTCAACCTTAAATGTGTGTACATTTATCCAGGGGATGATATAACCCCATGTTGATAAATATATATATATTTTTTTATTTATGAAGTGGTTATTGGCACACCTAACAGTTTATCCAAAACAGAGGGTTTTGTTTTTCTGTATCAAATATTAATGTTATCAGATCCCAGTTTGTAACTCAGGCTGCACAGCAGCACAGTTACTATGCAACCTGAGTTTGATAGTAAAGAATGTCAGAATTAGACAATGTGACAAAGACTGACATCTTGTGCTCGCCAAATATATCTAACGACAGATTGTTTGGGAGCGTTGCTAGAAAACATAGCTTTCTCTTCAAGCATCTCAAGTGTAAACAAATACAGTTTTTTCTTTTAAATGCTACCCAGACTGTATCAAAAACTGTGTTCCTCATGGAACATTTTGGCTACCAACCAAGTGAGTATAGCATGAGGCAAAGGACGGTGTTTGGAACGGCACTGAATTTCAGCTGTTTTGTGGGGCTAAGTTTCTATGACACTATGGGCCTCTTTCTGTTGCAAAAATAGGAGCTGTATTAGAGAGATTTGGATAACAAAGTTTTCAAATTACTTGCAAATGCTTAGAGGCATTTAGAGAAATAATGATTCAAAATACATAGCCAAATAAACACGCAAAAGTAAAACTGCACAAAACATATTTTTTTTCTTATTTTTTGTCCTGAAAAAGGATATGACAGGGTTGCTTTAAGGCTTATTTGGATTTACTTTTTACTTCTTTACAATTAGCGCCAAAATTGTGGAGGATGTTGTGCATTAAAAACGAATCAGCCATTCTATGTGAAAATCAGAAATTACGTTTTTATTCCATAAAATTTCTGAAGCGAGCGCCATTTCACTGATGTTCTCAAAGATCACTTTTCAAACTAGAATAAATGTTCTCTTTCACAAATACAAATTCTATTGTGGACTAACTTAAAAAGGTAAAACCTACAAGAGAGACAGTGAATATGTTTGCTTTCATTATTTTATTTGATCTTCATACATTGATATTTAGAGGGAAAAAAAGCACAGACTGTGATAAACTGGATGCAGCCACTCTGATTAAATGTGTTGCAGAAAAGCACAGCATCCAACCAAATAGTGTCATTGGATGCAACATTGAATATGGAATATTAAATGTCTTTTTTTTCTTAAACAGTTCCTGAAACCAATGGGTACTGAAGGGATAATGTTTAAAACTCTTGTTTTTAATGTAATTTGGCAGTAAGGGGAATGCTTAAACTCTGAACAGTTTTGTATGACAAACTAGTGCATTTGTGTATTATATGACAACATATTGTGAATACTGTAGCTCTGAGTGTCACGTGGAGCCAAAATGATTTGAAATTCATTTTAAATGAGGAAGATAATTATTTTATATTTCCCCCAGTCTTTGTTTAAGTATTAGGAACAGAAACATTCACTATTAGAGTTTTTAACAGTTTCTTACTTTTAAACTGATGAATTCATTAAAAAAATATATAACATTCATTGCTGTTTCATGATAGAAGAATTAATGTCAGGTGTTGATTGCCTGGTATAAGTCCTGATCATCCCTGTCAGCTATGTCAAATTACTCATAAAAATATGGAGTCATAGTGTGTTTCCAACACTTTATGTGATGTTCAGTCTTTCCAGTATTGCCATGGACGAGAAAATTAGCTAATGCATAACTGAAACTGAAACATGACTGAAACGCATGACTGAAACATGACTGAGATCTCACCACACACTGACTACATTCAGTGTGTGGTGAGATCTCAGTGTGTGGTGAGATCTTTGCACTTTGCTGCACCATGTAAAGGTCAGTGAGCCTGGGGTGTGGGACAAATGTGCTTTCTGCAGGGTTATACAAGAAGGCAAATCAAGTTAATAGAATATACAGAGCTTCATTCTATGGTGTGTGTTCAGGGTACAGGCTCTGAAATCACAGAAACTCTGACTATGATATATAAAGACTTTGTGACAAAGAAGATTAACTGAATGCATTGCAACAAGAGGACTTCAAGTTCCTAAGTTTTGTGTTTACGTCCAAACTCATGTGCATTGACATATATTGCTAGAAAAAAAACTTTGTATAGGTTATTTACTGCAGGTATTAGGTGTTGATTGACACAAACACATTTGCACACTGTCCTTAAAGTTTTTTCTTGTGTTATTGGCGCGAAAATTTGACTTCTCTGACCCTTATGTGCCATCATGCATCCCAAAATTTGACAAACATTTTAAAGCACAGAATTACACCTCTACATCTTAAATGGCAAACTTCAGTTACATGTAACTGTGTCTGCAGCTGACACTGACTTGATACAAAACGTCTGCAGCACAGCGTAGCAAGACTTGCAAAAATATTAGAAACAAAGAACACTTGAGAACAAGTAATTCCATCATTCTGCTGTCAGAAAGGTTGTAAAATCCTTCTCAGGTGGTCCGCGACTGCGTGTTTCATGAGGAACATTGTACTGCGTGCAGTGAAAGAAAATGCCACCTCTCAGTGTGGCAGATATTTCATAGCACAGCTATTATTTTCTACTGTCCATTTATACTGGTTGCATCCACTCCAGATGTTGTTTGGGATTAAAAGAGACATTAAGGTCTTGCATGATCTCATTAGTTTCTTTCAATATATGATAAAAAAAAATCTGTGATCATTTTTAATTGTTTTATTTTAATGTAATAAAATATGTATTTATTAACATGTTGTGAGTGTTGTTCATTCTCATCTATGTATGAGGATATTCAGCTGGAAGTTATCCTCATTCATCCACTTTTATTTATTAATATATATTAAGTAAGTTCATGAGCACCTTATCTGGTAAAGCTAATGAATGTTTATATCAATGGATTTGCAGAATTGAAACTGGATGCAGTTCTTCCTCTTTTGACTGATGTATGGAAGAGGTGAGAAATGATCCTAACAGCAAAGTGCTGAAAAGGAGGCATGGCCTTTTGCCATTGAGGACATGGTGCCATCTAGAGGGAGCTTTTAAATTTGAATTTGGTTGACGAGAAGCAGAGCCTTTACACATGGCTTTTCAACTACTTTGCTCTCATCATCAGTTCTTACATTACACATGAATATTCTCTTTTTTTATAATGTGTGCACCAGGATAAACCTTTTTCAACACCCTAAGTGTAAAATATTGGAAAAATTACAAATATTTCAAAGATATTCAACAATTTATTCGCTAAAATTATGTGGGGAAAAAAAAAACTCCCTGGGAAAGGAAAATTTGAAATGGGATCTCAAAAATGTTTCATGTTCTTCTAGACAACCATGAGATATGTGTGACACCAAAATGAGACTAATGTTTATTTCCCCAGTGTCTCAGTTTTTTCTCTGGAGCAATACGATGCACTTAAGTTCCATTTAGTCTATTTTCAAGTTTTAGAAAAGACCTCAACAAGATCTAATATAATTCTCAGACTGCCTCAACTTTAGTGTCTAGTTGTAATCCCAAGCAGAGAAATCAGATAACTCTCCCTATGATCTCAGTTTGCTTTCATCACAGCGTTAAATTCCCTTTTTGAAAGCATTAAACACAACATTACTAGAATTGACTCCTAATTAAAAACAATTTTCGACTCTGAAATACTGTTTAGACTACACAATGTAAGCGAATGCTACTTTCACTTCATGCCCATCCAGGAGAAGAGAATCCTTCAACGCCAGTGACTCAAGTAAGTCAGTTCTGTTTTCTTTAAGGGAAAATTTGTAGGCAATTTTTTTGTACGACTTGACTGAAGCTAATCTGTAAAAATGGCACGTGTTGAGCAAAAAACTAAAATCATGCCAAAATATCACTAGGACTGACAAGAAAAATTAAGAGTAACAGTAGATCTGATTCAATTGTGTATATTTATAGATACTGTATTAGTAAATTCAATTAATGACAACTTCATTGAAACTTGTGATGATTGGAGAAGGTCACTTGGAGATTTAAAAGTCAGTTGCATGAGGCCTCACAGAGGAAACAGCAAGCCCTCCTGACTAGGCCACGGCTTGGACATGCTAAACTTTCCCTGGCCATTAGACATACCTTAGCTCCCTCAAACTGGTGATTAACATAGGTACCAGATGCAGGGACAGTGTTTCGGACAAAAAATGTTGGGTCTCTGATCATTTCATGTGTTTGGCTGTATTTTGAGAGCAATCTGACCGCATACTAGCAAATCAGACATTAACATATTTTGAGTATTATTTACATACTTATGGTAAACCTTATTTCAATGAGTGCTTCAATACTTATACGACATTAATGTCTATGAGTTTTAGGGTCCCTTTATTATATTTGAGATCTACAATATGACAGATATCTCCTTTAAAGTGAGTTTCTTTATGTTTGCTGGTAATAGATTTGTCTAAACCAAACCTGGCTAACCAAAGCTAAACCCACTGCCATGAGAGTTCCTTACCCATTTAAAGTCCCACAGCAATAACATTACATTAACAATCAATTATCTAGATGGCTATTGATCTGTGATCAGGGAAAATCAGTCCAAAAAATATTATTTTACAAAAAGTATTGTGTACCTCTTTTATTTTTCCATTGTACATTGGTCTGAACACATCCCATTAGCTCTAAATTAGCTGAAAGCTAATTGGATTTCTTTAGAAATTCCTAAAGATTAACTTTGGTTTCAAGAATGAAATCAATGCAGAGCTGTAATGTGATTTTATCACTTTATTGACAATGTTTTTTTTAACCATTTATATTGCCTTTCCTTCTCTGTACATAGTAGTTATAGAGCTTAGTTGAGTTTCATCTGCTTAGTTAAGAGTTTTTGACTGAAATATGTTGGACCTTGAGTTGAATTATTTGGTTAATAAATTCTTATATTTTGAGAGTTAACTGATTAAATATTACATAAGATAAATGTATACAATTGCACAACATTTGCTGCCCCATGGATGGGCTTCCAATTCAACAAGGGGCTCTATGATGCGTATTAAAATTTATCTAAACTGCTCGACCATAACATTACCAGTTAAAAAACATATTGGATATCTTCAATATGTTGGGATTATCATCTGTGGGATGGGTGAGCTATTGTGAACAGAGCCTAAATTATAATAAAGTACTGGTCAGAGAAAAAACATGGTTTAAAAGCGCAGAACCCCAGTGTCATGGCTACTGTTCTGCCCATCTCAAAGTGTGAGAATTTTATCTAATTTGTTAAATGATGTAAACATTAATAAAAGTGGAAGGAATATTTAAGATAAATTATTTGACATTTACTTATAAAACACATAGACAAATTACTGTTATATTTTTAACAATAACTCAATGAGCCGTTTTCAAGCAATGTAATTGTGGCAAGCATCACAGATATGGTGAAAAGTAGTTTTCTCTGGCAGAGAGTTAACAAAAAAAGATGGCTTTTGTTTTAAACACTGAGGTAAAACGTTTTCAAGCAGTTTGATTACAACAACTGACCCTGAGGCCAGAAGGACTTTCAGACTCTACTTCTTTACCTGATGGTTGACACCAACCACCATATAATTTTCTGTTGAAATCTTCAGGCCTGCTGACTTCACTTTGTCACGGCAGCCCCTGACCTCAGACCTGCCTGGTGTCCCCCTTCCTCCTCCTCCACCTCTGCAGGGGTCATGTTTCTGCAGGTAACTTATGAAACCGTCCCACCCACCGCCAACTCGAACCATAACATCACGCTCATTCAGCATCTGCAAAGGGGACATGATACAGGAAGGTTAGGTTGTGGATCCTTTTCTTTCAAAAGCAGAACATAAACACACACAAAAAACTGTTATAACCACAAGCTTCTTGTGCATGTGTTGCTCTGGCTATGAGGACTGAATAATCTCCTGGGTAGCTTTGTCAGAATCTCATTAAATCAAATGAAATTGCAACTCATGGCACCAGCTGAGCACACATGCACTTCTAATCCAGATATAAGCATGCAAGCTCACACCCCAACCTAACCCCCCC